ACGCCCGCCATGCAGATGACTCGGCCCTGCCAATCAATACATTGATAGCTCTGGGAGCTTAATGGACAGGCTGGGGGTGGGGAGGGCCCTTTGCAGCCCTCCTTGCTCTCCAGGCTGGCTTGGGCATGGGGAGTGTGACAGGAGGGAACCAGACACTTGGGCTGAGGGTGGGGCTGCCCATCTGAGTCCAGCTAGGTCCAGGGGTGGCGGTCCCCCCTCTGCGTCCTACACAGGAGTGCCTGCTGCGGGGACCCTGTGGGCTGCAGAGCAGACAGGGACTCAGATCTTGGCTCAGCCGCTTTCTCTACTGCTCTGACTGGTCCTTTGGCCTCTCTGTGTCTCCCTGGGTTGCCTACAGCACAGGGACAGTCATCATTGTGACCTGCTCTGGTCACGTGGGCAGTAAGGACAGTGCCTGGCAAATGGGCATCCTGGGCCCTGGCATAGAGCAAATGCCCAAGAAGTAGGAGCCAACGTGAGAGTTGCTCTCAACAACAGTGATCGGGAGGGTGCCATGGCTGGCAGCGGCCCCTGGCCAGAGTCCAGGCTGCTCTCGAGGAAGAGTTTTAGGAGCTGCCTTTGGGAGTAGAGAGGGGGCCAACCTTACCAGGGACCAGGTTTGAATCCAGAATTTGGAGATGCTCTGGAAGTCCTGGGGAGACTGACCTTCTGCTGCTGGGGGAATGTGGCCAGAAGTCTGTGGCTGCCTACCTGGGGCCAGGGAGACCACCCCTTCTGGACAGGCTGCCCGGAGACAGGGGCAGGGACTACAGAAGACTTCAACAATCGGGAGCTGGAGTGGGAGACAGCAGTGGGACCCCGTCCTCCTTGCTTGAGAAGAGGAGTTCATGGTCTTCAGCCGTTTCACAGACAATATCCCTCACTCCTCAACTATGGCTTGTGTTCTGAGCCAGCCACTATCCTGGAATGCAGTCACTCCTCCCTTATGCTTGAGAATATGTCCTAAGATCCCCAGTGGATGCCCCAGGTGGAGGACAGTACCAAACAAGCATTGTTGTCCCGAGACAGTTGCCCTGATGGCTGAGACAGCTGTGGATGGCTACCTGGTGGGTAGTGTATATAGTGTGGATACGCTGGATATGGGGGCGGCATGAGGTTTTGTTATGCTACTCAAAATGCCACCAAATGTAAAACTTACGAATAGCTTATTTCTGGAATTTCCCATTTAATATTTTTGGTCCTTGGTTTACAAGGGTAGCTATGGACAGTGGAATCCAGGAGAAGCAGGGAGCACTGACGTGGCAGAGGAGGTGGGGAGTGAAGCGCCTGAGGGAGGGTGGCCGCAGGTGAGTCAAAGTGGTGGACAGAGGGGAAGGTGGTCCCCTCCCCAGTTCTATGACTTAGGACAAGCGATATAACCTCCCGGAGTCTCATAGTCTCCATCTGTTAAACGAGGATAGTAAGCAAGCCACCTCCCGGGGCTGCTGGGGCGATTGTAGGGTGATTCAGTCACAGCTCTGCATGTCACGGCCATTTAAAAGACAGAGAAATGTGGTTGCTGTTCACTTACACCATTTTTCTCTGAGGTAAATATTACAAACAAACTCTATTTTGCGGATGGGAAACTGAGGGTTAAGGAGACTGGGGTGGACCTGGGCAGCCCGGGGCTGGCCCCACTCCTGGTGTGGATGGGGCGCGGGCTGGTGGCCGGTGGCAACGTGGCCTGGGAAGACGTAGGAAGAAGACACGAGTGTGCTTTTCAGAGTGGAGGGTGAAGGCTTCAGGCCAGAGGGAGCTCTGGTGGCGTCGGACGCCCCAGTGGGATGGACACCAGAGCAATCCCCACAAGGTGGCCAGATCTTTTGTACCTCAGAGGGGCCCACAGCCTGCCTAGGGCAGAGCTGGATTTTAAGGCCACCTGGACGTTGTCCTGCAGGAGTTGGGAGCCAGGGCAGGGCTCGGGCAGGGACACTGCCTTCCTGCGTGCTCTGGGCCACGTGAGACAAGCATGAGACTGCGGCCAGGTGGGTTGGGTCCCCAGGCCCAGGGGGTGCCTCTGTCCCCCGGTTCTGGCAGGCTGGGCCCTGTTGCCTCTGTGCAGTTCCTGGGCTAGGGAGGGAACATTTCCACCCCATTGAAACCTCAGACTGGGGAAAGGGCAGGGGGTGAAGTTGGGGTCACTCTAGGTCACCCTCCCCAGTGGGAAAAGCTACTTCCACCGAAAACACGATCCATGCGTGGAGGGGGGCGAGGTGGGGGCGAGATGGGCCGCGAGGCCCTTCTGTCCTCTTTGAAGGAGCTATGGGGCTGGGACTGTGTTTGTCCTGCGGCTTTTCAGGGCCCCTCTGGTGACTCTGCCCCCTGAAGGGTGTGAGTGGACAGACGGAAGGTCTGACTGTCCTTGGAAGGCCCTGACTGGGTTCCCGCTCAGGCACTGAGGCCAAGTGACCTGTTACCCAACTAGTGGACAGGGAAAGGGGCCATGGGGCCGGGCAGCCCTGCATGCCTGTGCTCTGGAGGCAGAGCCTGGGGCTCTGCTCACCCACCTAGCCCTGTGGCTCTGGGCAGAGGCCTGAGGTCCCATCTGTGAAGAGGACTCAGCTGCTGGGGTGGTCAGGGCAGGTAGAAGAAAAGCATATCCACTCTCAGCAGAGTGCCTGGAGCAGAGGACAGCAGGGCTCTCCACAGCTTAAAACAGCCCTTGCAATCCCAGTGGCTCAGGAGGCTGAGGCAGGAGGATCGCAAGTTCGAGGCCAGGCTTAGCACTTAGCAAGGCTCTAAGAAACTTAGTGAGACCCTGTCTCAAAAGAAAAAGTAAGGGGCTGGGGATAGAGCTCGGTTGGTAGAGTGCTTGCCTCGCATCACACACACACAAAATAATAAAATAAAAAGGGCTGGGGGTGTGGCTCAGTGGGTAAGTACCCCTGTGTTCAACCCCTGGCACCAAAATAAATAAACAAACAAATAGATAAAATAAAGGGGAAAAAAAAAGAACTCCCCCCGCCATCGCCCTGTGGGATCTGCCTGTCTGGGTGGTAAGAAGTAGGGTCATTACTGACCTCCAGGTATCCCCCATTTTGGGCCACATTTGCAAGCATTTGCTGATGGCCTGCTGGAGGTGGAGTGGAGACCTAGGGATGACCCGATGAGCTTGACTCGGGACAGCTGCATGTGCGGAGACCCTCCCAGCCTTGGAGGTGGGGGCCAGGCAGGTGCCTGGGGCAGGTGACAGCCAGGCTGAAGGACACTGGCAGCCCTGAGCCCACCAGAGGCCTTGCCCAGGGCCTGGAGAGGCCACCCCCACTCCCTACCCCGGGACTGATCAGGCCTCAGGGTGTGGCTTAAATCACGGAAGCTGGGCAAGATGGATTGCTCACCCCACATCCTGTGGAAGGGTCACCCTCCAGCCTCTGCTGACCCTGGGTCACCCACGCTGCCTCTGTCCAGTGGGCCAGGGAGAAAATCGTTAATGGGAGGCCAGCTTCTGGGGCAGGGAGTGCCCCTTGGGGGCCCGGGGTGAGGAGATTGGTTTGACCTCTGGTCGATAGGGCCTCCTGTGAGTGGGGGTCGGCGGGTGGGGGATGCTGGCGCCTACCCTTGGGGGAGGGGACAGGGCCAGGCCACTCCCGGAAGTCATTCCAGGAGGGTTGAAGTCCATGCATGGAGGTGTCTTGGGACATGTGCCCTTACTGTCCCTGAGCATCAGGGTGGGTGTCAGCTGCAGGCAGGTCTAGCTAGAGCTGCGGCATGGGTGGGGCATCCTGGGAACAGGGTCCCCTGTGTCTCGCGTTGTGCCAGACACGTGACTGCCTGCGTGCCAGGCTTCAGGACCTGCTCAGCTTTATGGTTAAGGTGGGATGGGTCGTGGGAAAACTTAATGTCATGATAAGTGACACGGCAGGACTCCGAGTCTTGTCAGCATTCACCTGTCCACCTACCCATCCACCCATCCATCCACCGTGTGTGTGGGTGTCCACTGTCCTCGGTGCTGGGGAAAAGCAGCGTACAAGGAGGACTCAGCTAGATAGCTTCAGCTTTCATGGTGCCCCAGTCCGTTGGGGGCAGATAGACAAAAACCAGACTGGGAGATGGTATGTCAGGTTGATAAGTGCTACAGAGGAACACAGAACATCAGGGGTCAAGGCTGAGTTGGAGGTCGCCTCAGAAGGGCGGTCCAGAAAGGCCTTTTTGAGCAGAGATGCAGGTGAAGTAAGGACCTGGAGTGGAGAGGGCAGGGAAAAACCAGGGGAACAGAGGAAAGAGCAAGTACAAAGGCCCTGAGGCAGGAGCCAGGGTAGCTGGTAGGAAGGGAGCAGTAGAAGATGGCAAAGCATGGGGAGTGTGCCAGGGAGGGATCTACGAGGACCAGGTTTGGTGCAGGATGGATTAACAGGTGGCTGGAGTGGACCAGATTAGCAAGAGGCCATGAGGAAGTAGGTGCCCATTATCCTGATGAGAGGCCATGTCTGGGATGGGAGATTGGAGAGTTGGGTGTTGGTGCAACCAGAGAAGGCTTCTTGGAGGAGGTGGGCAGATCCGAGCTAAGCCCAGGTGATAAAGGGAACTTTGATGGGTGATATGAAATGGAGGGTTCTCCAAGAAGGGCCTGAGGTTGGGGTGTGAATTAGTGGGAGGGTCACAGGGGTGGGGAGGAGCCTGGGCATGGCAGTGGCCTCTGGCCCATCGGTTCCCAGATGGAGACTTGCCAGGCCTCCCCCAGCGGCTCTCTGCCCGTCCCCCTCTCCCCCGGTCCGGTGGATGAGGTCTTTTTCTTCCCGTTGGCTCTCCGTGTCCTCACGGCATCCTGCCATGTCCTGGGGTGGGGCGCTGGTGCCACTGTTCTGAGGAGGAGCTGGCCACAGGGCGAACGGGGCTTCCTGCTTCCCTGCAGGGCTGTGGGGCGGCGTCCAGCAACTTCGGGTGCGTCCACCGTCCGCCATCCACCGTCCACCGAGGCTGGTTCTCGGCTGGGCCACCGGGGCCCTCAGCTCTGTGGAGCAGGGTGGCCATGGCCTTCACCCTGTCCCCGTCCTCCGCAGGTGCTGGTGGCCGAGGAGAACGTGGACTTCCGCATCCACGTGGAGAACCAGACGCGGGCCCGGGACGACGTGAGCCGTAAGCAGCTGCGGCTGTACCAGCTCTACAGCAGGACGAGCGGCAAGCACATCCAGGTGCTGGGCCGCAGGATCAGCGCGCGCGGCGAGGACGGCGACAAGTATGGTAGGTGCCCGCTGCTGCCCCCGGAGGCCTCATCCTGGGCCTCACCCTGAGCCTTGGTCCCCTGGTGTGGCGACCCCAGGATCCGCGGTCCTAGCTGAACGTGGTACCAGAGGTGCTGTGGCTGGGAGCGCCCCGGAGAGCGGCGGTGGTTGGGGGCACCGGCGGCCCTGCAGGCCCTGCAGCAGGTGGCCACCTTGTGTGCCCTGCTCAGCCCCAGGCGCAGGCCTCCGGCCTCTGGGTCGCTCTGGATGCGCTGCATTGGGGGGGGACCAGTCTGGCGCGTGCGCGGTGCTGGTGCATGTGGCTTTCAAGCTTGAGTGTGTGGACGCTCATGGCGTGGGATGTGGTCTCCCTGACCTGCCCTTGACCCTGGGAGGGCCTCGTCCTCCTCTGGGGAGTTTGGGCGCCCTCAGCCACCCCCCCATGCTCAAGCCGCACCCACAAGACCTCAGCCGCCCTGAGGGGTGCATCAGGGACAGTCGCTGAAGGCATACTTGGCCCGCAGGTTATTTATCGAAAGTCACCAGGCTGGGCCTCGCCTCCTGGTCCTTGCCCTCTTAGAAAGCACTGCCCCATGGGTTCCTGCCTGGGTCCTGGGAGGCATCCCGGCCCACAGGATCGGGGCTGTGGGTGGCCGAGGCAGGTGGCTGGGGCAGGGTCCCGAGTGCTGCTGGCCTGCCACTCTGGCCTTTCTGGGATGGTGCCCCCCTCCCGTCCCCGCCCTGCAACCCTGCCCATTGCGGTCAGGACATGACAATAAGACAGATAATTTCTTGGACCCTTTATCTTGGACACCATTTATTTTCCCCGAGCCCCAGGGCAGGCCTGACCCCGTGGTAGGGCCTTAGTGTGGCAGCTGCGGCGGCACTGGGGGCCGGGCCAGGCTGGGCAGGGCCGGGCTGGGCTCTTGCTGCTGGGGCCAGCTGCCTGCTCTCGGCCCCCCACTCCTCACTGGCTCCTGGCCCCCCTTTCCCCTCTCCTGGCCTGGTTCTGGCCCCTTCTCCTCTTTGTTTCTGTCCATCTCTGTCCCTCCCTCTGTCCACAGCTTCTCTGCCCCCGTCTCCTGGGCCCTCTGATGGCCGCCTCTCTGGGCCCCTCTGCAGATGCCTGGCTTTGCTGGGCAGACCCAGGTGGTGGTTTTCCCTGGGATCTTCTGTCCAGTTGCTGCCAGGAAGGGGCAGCTGGCTGGCCGGGCAGGAGGAGGTGCCCTCCCGGGGAGCCCCTGCAGCTCTTGCTGGCCCCTCCAGCCTGGAAGAGTACAGGGGGCCAGACTCTGGCCTGAACCATCTGTCCACACCCTGGGAAAGGAGGTAGGAGCTGGGGAGGGAGAGGAGCCCAGAAGTGACTGGCCTGTCACTCTGAAGCCACCTGTCCCCCCACTTCCTTTGCCTGACTGGGAGCTCAGGCGGCCTTGCCTGCTGTGTGACCTCAGACAAGCTCTCGGCCTTCTCTGGGTCTTTTCTGTTCTGTACACTAGGAGGCTGGGCCTAGAGTGGCACTTCTTTAATGTTAACAAGCCTGTGAATCACCTAGGGGTCCTGACAAATGCCCGTGTCCCCTGTGGGGGTCTGCAGTGGGCCTGGGCTCCTGCATTCCTCGTGCGCACTCAGGTGGGGCCACGGAGCCCATCTCCGAGTTGCGCACCTTGTACACTCTTCCCCCGCCACAGACTCTTGAACTTAGTCCTCGTCGCTTAAGGACTATATTTATGGATCCTCTAGGCCCCCAACACCCAGGGCGACAGGGGCCTTGCGGGCTGCTGCTGTTCCACTTAAAAGTCCCATTAGAAACGCAGATGAGGCCAAGGGACCCCATCTGTGAGCCCTGGGAGAGGAAGTGAGACAATGGACCAACCGGGGTTTCCAATCTAGATGATCAATACAAATATTATTGGAAGGGTGATTTATGTAGCCTGGGCAGGAGGCTGGGCCTGCTCTGTGGGGCTGCAGTCCGGGCCCCGCCTTGCCTGGGGGAGGGGTGGCCTGGGGCCCAGTGCTGTTCCGGAACCTGCTCCCTCTTCTCAGGACCGGGCGCAGCTGGGGACTGTGATGCCCTCTGAGCCAGCATCGCAGCACTGTATAACATGCTGCTCGGAATTCCAGCCCACGCCAAGTCCAGACGGAGTCCCTCTGAACGCCTGGGGTCAGGAGTCCTCACAGACACCAGGGGCTCAGGCCGAGAAGCTGGCACCCCGGGCCTTGCCAGCACGCCAGGCGCTGGTCCCCCTGCCCAGCTCATTCAGGGCTTTGCAGCTGCGGTGGTCCTCTGGGAGACCTCCCAGTGACACTGCAGCTGCCACACTAGGGCCCTTGGTGTTCTGCAAGAGGGTCTCCCTGTGGTCCCCTGAAGCTTTCCCAGCACTCTGGTGGCCGGGGGTGGCCTATTCCAGGTACAGGGTGCTTTCGTAGATTTGCTCTGGAGGGGACACAGCTGGCCAGAGGGCTGGCGGCCGAGGAGGAGTGTGCTGGCAGGCAGGGGCCTTCTTGTCCTTGGTCCTGGCCACCTCTGTCCTGCAGGCGGGCACTGCCTTAAAAACAGCAGGACACCTGGTTCCCGCTGCAGGTCCATTACTGGGCAAGAGTCTCTGGCTCTGGACTCGGTTTCTTCCTCTGCCAAATGGGGATCAGAGGTCCCTGTTCTACCTGTTTCTGAGGTAGACGGGCTGAGCCAAGGATGTCCAGCTGTGGGAAGTGGGCGGCCGAGTGGTGGGGCTGGACTCTTAGCAGAGAGGCCCAGGGCCCCCCACAGGGTGTGGTCAGAGCCCCCGCCATGGAGGGGACTGTGGAGGCCCACCTGGTCTTGCAGGCCTCAGGATTGGTCACTCCTGCCTGATTTCACTTACACAAAGGCCTTCTCTATTTGAAGATAAATAAAAAAGTTTGAAAACCCCATTCTGCGGTCGGCCAGCCTCCCGGCCAAGAGTGCCCAGAGCAGCTCCGGGCAGACCAGCAGGGCCAGGAGTGCTGGTCGAGGGCGGGATGCCCGGGTTGCGCGGGCTCGTGGTCCGAGGGCATTTGAACGTGGGCTCCTCCACTCAGGCGGTGCAGACCGTGGGCCCAGTCGGCCTCCCTGTCCAGTTGTCTCCTCCACAGAATGGGGGTCACTGAAATGAGAGCGAGCCTCGGGCCTGCAGGCTAGGCGAGGACTAAGGGAGACCTAGTAACCACCTGGATGCAGGGGCAGTTGGGGAGGAGGGTTCCCCCCTGCGGGAAGGGGGCTTCCTCTCCCGTCTGGGAGGCTCTGGTGTGTGGGGTGCAGGTGGATGAGGCCTCGTCACGTGGTTCTGAGGGCAGGTCTCAGGGCAGAGCAGTAAGGGGGCCCCGGGGTGGGGCATCTTGTGGGGCTTTTTGCTGAACTGGTCGGGGGGCCCTTCTGTCCCTGTGTCCCTGTGCTGGTACTTGCTGGAGGGCTAGGTGTGGGATGACTGGTGTGGCTGGGGCTGCAGGGACCCCGGCTCTGAGTCCAACCCCCAGGCCATCCTCCACCCCCCCAGTCCCCCTGGTGCAGGGGCACTCATGTCACTTAGACTAAAGGCTCTTGAGTCTTCCCGAAGGCCTGCGCTGGCCCAGCGCCCGAGACTGCCCCCATCACCACTGGGCCCCCATGCCTTGTCCCTGGCTCCTCGAGCCATGTCCCCCTGGCCTGAGGACCCTGTCCCCAGAGTTCTCGTGACTGCACCTCCCTTCACGTGGTTTTCCTCCTGGTTCGATGGCTGCCTTAAGGCCCCTTGGCTCTTTGGTACTTGGCTCTTGGTCCGGCAGGTGCTTCTGCTCGGTCCCGCAGACCCTGTGCCCTGAGCCTGTCACCGAGGTGCTCAGTATGCATCTGAGCAAGTGGATGCGGGGTCCTGGTGCGCCTGGGAGTGTGGCGGGGTCACTGTCACTGGGGCACTGGGCCGTGTTTGGCACAGCGCTGCGCGGTGGTGTGTGTGGCAGGTCACGGCCCCTCCTTCCTCCTCTGGCCTTGGACAGGGCCTTGGGGATGCGGAGACCCACAGACCTGCTTCCCCTCTGAGCTCTTCTGGCTGGGGTGGGGGTGGGCTTCCTCTCAGGCTTAGTCTCCTGCCCTCTGGGCTCCTGTCACATGACCTCTGGCCCAGTGGGAAGTGGTCCCCTGTCTTGTCCACTCCGCAGTTGCCGTGGTACCTAGAGCTACAGCGAGGGTTAAATGCAGCTTCTGATCAGCTCTATTGATTTTCTTCCCCTCTTCCCTTCTGGTGAACCTACGTGGCCTGCGAACGCCCTCCAGGGACTTCAGAAGGGGAACTGGAGGACAGGCCTCAGTGGGCGTGTGTGTGTGTGTGGGGGGGGACAGGGACAGGGAGAGGAGATGGGGGGGGCGTCTCTAGGGAGGAGACCCTCCTCCCCTCCTGGCCTCCTGTCTGTCCACCTGGCCCACCTTCAGAGAGCAGCAGGGAGGGCTGACCCAGTGTGACCTCCCAGCGCCTCTGGGGCCAAGGGCATTCTTCGCTGGAGGACGATGCCGGGCACTGGGCCAGCAGCTCGGTCAGCACTAGAACTGTCACTGCGGGTGGCTGCAGCACCCTGTGTGCCCCGTGTGGCCCGAGCCCCCATAGTCCTGGGGAGCCTGCCCACGGTCTGTCTGGCCATGTTCTCTGTGGCTCTTCTCTGGGCCCCGGCTCCTGTGTCTCTGGCTGGCTCCGTCCCTCCCTAGGTCTCTGGCTGCCTCTTGGCATCTTTCACTCCTGTCCCCACCTTTGAGGCCAGAGTGTTCAGAGGAAGGCCCAGCACCTGTCCGGCAGTCCACCTGGACATCTGAGCCCCTCCTCTCTCCTGTGTCACTGCAGGCCTGCGCTGCATCTGCCCTCAGGCTCCTGTCCCTGGGCCTGAGTCTCTGGCTCTGGGCTGCTCTGCCTGTCCCCAAGGAGCCCTGCTGTGTGTCTCCCGGCACCTTCCTGCACCCAACGTGGCTGGGCCATCCCTGGAGGTGCCTGCCCAGTGGGCTCTCCTTTTGGGGGAGCTGTGGCAGGGGTTCCCCATCTTGACTCCTCCTTGGGTCTGTGCAGCGCCTTCGTCCCTTCTCCAGAGGGAAGGTTCCCTGGCTGGCTGGTTGTCATCTAGTTCTGTCCTGGGTGCCTCTCAAGGTCACCCTAGGGATCCCTCCTTCCTCAAAGTCACTTGGAAGTGGAGGTGGGAGGGATGGGCCTCTGTTTCTTGCTCTGATGCCCGGGAGAAGACCCCACCTCCACTCAGTCCTCCCAGGAGAGGACGTGGGGGAGGGGGAGAGGGAGACCCAAACTTCAGGCAGCCTGCCTAGGTGTGACTCTTAGCTCCCTCACTGTGTGGCCCTGGGGACAGTCTTCCTGCCTGTGCAGTAGGGATGAGGACCAGAGTTCTAACCTCACAAGACTTTGTAAAATTTTTTTTGGTACCAGGGATTGAACTCAGGGGCACTCAACCACTGAGCCACATCCCCAGCCCTTTTTGGTATTTTATTTAGAGACAGGGTCTCACTGAGCTGCTTAGCACCTCGCTAAGTTGCTGAGGCTGGCTTTGAACTTGCGGTCCTCCTGCCTCAGCCTCCTAAGCCCCGTTGGGGGCAGGCAGGGGAGGTTTACAGGTGTGTGCCACCGTGCCCAGCCCTCACAGGACTCTTGTTGGGAGTAGTGACATAGCACATGGAAGGTAGTTTGCAGAGTGCCTGCTCCTCAGAAGCTCTCCATAAATGTGAGTTACTGATACGATCTAGCCAGACAAAGCTAAAGGGGTCTTATAGGTCACCTTGTCCTGGTTCAGAGGGACAGGGTTTCTTCTTTTGGGTTTTATCTTTGCTACTGAGGCTGGGGATGAGTGAGTGGGAGCCCAGCATTCTAGCAAGTGGCCTGACACCAGGAACCTCAGCAGGAAGGAGCAGAGTGGTCAAGGGCATTGACTGAAGTCAGAGGCCAAGTCCACACCCTCCTCCTGCGTCACAGCTGAGTGCCCTTGGGCATTTTCCTTCACCTCCCTGAATCTCTGTTTTAGCTTCTGGGTTTTGCTACTGCAGATTGAGCCCAGGGACACTTTACCACTGAGCTCTATCTTCGGCCCTTTTTATTCTTAATTTTTAAAAATTTATATATATTTTTAATTGTAGATGGACACAATACCTTTATTTTGTTTATTTATTTTTATGTGGTGCCGAGGATGGAACCCAGCGCTTCACAGGTGCGAGGCAAGCACTCTACCGCTGAGCCACACCCCAGCCCCCTTTTTATTCTTAATTTTGACATAGGGTCTTGCTAAATTGCGTAGGGCTCACCAAATTGCTGAGGCTAGACTTGAACTTGAGATCCTCCTGCCTCAGCCTCCTGACTTGCTGGGATCACAGGCGTGTACCACGCACCCAGCTCTCCTTACTTCTCAGTGTTGGTCATACCTATATGGCGAGCTGTTCATGTACCTGTTAGAACTTACTTATTGGTCATTTCCCATGAGCCAGGCCTGGAATAGGGGCTGGATGTCACAGAGATAATAAGCAGATAGATCCTTGTCCCCATCGAACTCACCTTCTTGTAAGTGGGAACAGACAATAAACAGGGTAACGAATTGTGTTAGCTTTCCGTCACTGTACCAACACACCTGAGAGAATCAACTTTAAAAGAGGAAAGGTTTATTTTGGTTCAGTTTTGGAGGTTTGGCCCATTGTCAGTCGGCTCATTGCTTTTGGGCCTTGGTGAGGCAGCATGTCCCAGCAGGAGTGCGTGGCCTGGGAGGCCCTTACCTCAGGGTCACCTGGAAGCAAAAACAGAAGCAAGAGGGGTGTAGGCTCCAATTTTCCCTCCAAGGACATACTCCCAGTGACCCCTACTTCCTCCCACAAGGCCCCACCTCTTAACAGGTTCTGCCACTTCCCAACAGTGCCATGGGCTGGGGACCGAGCCTTTCTTCCTGGGGCCTTTGGGGGGACCCTTATTCAAACTTTAACACAGGATGGTGTAGGAGGTTGAGGCAGGCTGGACTTGGGGAGGTGGTGCCAACATTACACAGCCTGGTCAAGGAAGGCCTCTCTGAGGAGGTGACATCTGAGTGGCCATCTGGAGATGAGGAGCCCCTATGGGATGCTCGGGGCAAGGCAGCCTCCAGGCAGCCGGGCCAGCAAGTGCACAGGGCCTGAGGCAGGAGCATGCTGGGTGTGTTAGAAGAGCGGCTGCTGGCTGGGGCAGGAGGAGGGCGGAAGGGCAGGGGCCAGGGATGTAGGTCCTAGTCAAGAGTTTGGATTTTATTCTAAGTGGGTTGAAGATCCCTAGGAGGTTTTTAGCAGGGAAGAGGTGTAATTAAATTGATATTTTAGAAGGATTCCTCTGGCTGATGTGTGCAGGGGAGACCAGTGGGCCAGGATGGCAGAGGGAGCCCCTGCTGAATTGCCCAAGCTGGAGAGGAGTCACCACCCCTCAGCCTGGCCTGCCGCAGGCCCCAAGAATGGAACCGAGAGAAGGCTTCAGGCTTCTGAGAGCTGCATCCTGGGGACGTGGGTGTTGGGAGGGGGTGAGGGACGCTGGGCGAACCTGGCCTGGGTGGAGTCTCTCTCCTTCTCTCTCTGAGAACGGCTGCTGCTATTACTCCCTGAGGACTTTACATAATTCTGGCCCGGGTCCCTCCTCATTATGTCATGCGCTGAGCAGAGTCTAGGTCACTCCTCTGCAGGCTGTTGGGGGTGGGCGGGAAGGACAGGCTCTGTCTCCTCTGGCACCGAGGGGGCCAGGCGCAGACCCCCTGGTGCTGCGGAGTGGGTGGAGGTGCAGTCCGGCCCGGACCAGGCCAGCTCTGCCGGCAGCTCCAGCAGAGGCCAGGCGCCCGCTGGCCACCCTGGCCAAGAGCGGTGGGGGTTTCGCCGGGAGGCAGGGCTCCTCAGAGCTGGGACCTCGTCCCTGAGCTCAAGAATCTGCAGAAGAGGCGCGGGGTCTGAACCTCAGTTGCCTCCTCCAGAGACCCTCCAGCTGTGGGCATGCGCGGCGTCGGTGGGCTGGCACGGGAGGCAGAGCTTGGGCACGGCGGAGGCCCTTCTGAGGACAGAGGCCCAGAGGCGCTGGGAGGAGGCTGGCAGAGCAGAGTCTCCCTGGGACTTATCTGGGGTGTCCTGGGCCCCAGCCCCATGCACCGCTGGAACAGGAAGGGCTCCGGGCGGGGTGCTCCCTGGGCAGCAGGCGGGGCAGCAGGCGGCCCTGGGAGCGGGTCCTTGTCCACCCCGTGCACCCGTCCCGGTTTTTCCACTGTTTTTTTTTTTTTTTTTAATAGGAAAACAGCTTGGTTTTTTTCAGTTTTTAGGAAACTTAAACCCCAGTTGCTGCCGCCCCTCCCATCCTCGGAGAGCGGAGCTGTCGTGTCCTACAGTCCTCGCGGGTGGGTCCATTTTCTAGGTGCGGAGACTGAGGCCCGCGGGTCCTTGTGCATGCGCTTCCCCTCCCTGCGCTCCAGCGCCTGCACCCCGATACCTCCGCTGCCCGGTGGAAGCCCCCGGGTTGTCCTGGTCCCCAAGCCCTCACCACTGCGAGGCCAGAGCGTGGTGAGGGGACGGAGGAAGCCACCCTGGGAGTGGATCTCCGGCCGGGGACAGGGCCTGGATCAGGGGCAGCGGGGTGGCCGGGCCTCCCCAGCTCAGTGGGTTCAGGTTGCTGACTCAGTGTCCCCTGGGGGCGGTGGAGAAGTCGGCCTCCCGTCCCCAGAGTGCTTGGATTCCTGTTAGATCTTTAAATTTTATGTAAATTCCTTTCCCCCCTTGGAAAGGGGGTGGTGGTGTTTAATTAGCAGCGGTGTCAAAGGCGGGCTGAATTAATTACTGGAAATCCCGAGCTCCACCTGGTTTCAATTTGCACAACAGGGTACCGGGGGCTATATTTGTGATTTTTTTTTTTTATTAAAATCATACCTAGAGTATTTTAGGGGCACTGAGGTACACATTTTGTGGCTCCAAGGATACTGTACTCAGGAATTTGGGGCTGTGATGTTTGTTATGGAGAAGCAAGTCCCTTGTCACTGGAATTAAACTTTTGTGGGTGAGGGAGGGGCAGGTGCTGGGAAGCAGAAGGTCAGGGAAGGCAGAGAGAGAGAATTACCACAGCCAAAGAAAGCAGCTGTGGGAGGGGAAGTGCTGCTGGGGGAACCAGACATGGGGGTTCGCAGCCAGAGAGCAAAGGGAGCTCAGAGAGGTTGTATGACCTACTCAAGTCACACAGCACCCTGTTGGGGAAAAGTGTGGACTGGCAGAGGGAGGGGAAGGGTCTGGACAGAGCATGTCTATTGGAGGGACAGTCACCCTTTAGTTTCTTGAGCTCCCATTCAGTCAGGGGTTTAGAGGCTCCACACTGGTTACCCAGAGGGAGGCCTTGTGGAACACGGTGGTCTAGCATGGTGTGTCCTACCCTGGAGGAGGAGGAACTGGGTCCTGATTGGGACTTCTGGCCCTTGGGAGATAGTTAGTTATCCTGTAGCTTTGGTGCCCAACAGGAGGGAAGTGGAACATCTTGAATCCCTTTCCCTGGGCATGTGCCTCCTCCCAGTGTCTTGCTGCATCGAGGGCAGAGATGTCGGGGCACCTGCAGGGGTTCCGGTGTCTGCCTGGGGGAAGAGCCTCCAACTGACTTGTGTGCGCTCGTGAGTCGGCCTGCTCCCTGCATCCAGAGACCGAGGCTTCTCAGGGGTGCCGCTGTCCGACCTGCGGCAGGGAGGGGAGTGGGGGGACTGGAGAACTGGGGTGATGGGGAGGAGGGAACATTGGTGTCTAGCCACGGGGCAGAACGGCAGCAGGAGCCCTCTGGGTCCCACATAGGAGCAGAGAGGCCGGAAGGTGGGACAGATGCCCCCAGCGTCCTTCTCTGGGCCCTGGGGGCAGGGTGCTTTCATGGGACCTGACAGAGGCCTGTCTCCTGCCTGATTTGGGGGGACAGAGGGACCAGGGATAGAGTCAGGGACCAGGTTGCTGAGCCTTTAGGACTAGACTTTAAAAAACCTGTCTTCTTCTCCTTCTGCCCTTCCAAGCCCAGCTCCTAGTGGAGACGGACACCTTCGGTAGCCAAGTGCGGATCAAGGGCAAGGAGACGGAGTTCTACCTGTGCATGAACCGCAAAGGCAAGCTCGTGGGGAAGGTGAGTGGTGGCCTGCGTTCCTGGACCTGGGGGCTGGGCCGGTGGGGTCCTGCCAGCCCCATGTGGAAGGCCGAAGGGGGTGTGCCTGCGCGGGCCCCGTTCCCACGGGCACCTCCTCCTGCCCTTCTCTGTGCTGATACCTGCAGCCAGCCAGGCGCGTCCGTGGCTGGACTCTGGTCACAGGCAGGGCCCTGGTCTCTCCTGGCGGGCGGGAGACCTGGCTTGCTCAGCCCTGAGAGAAGTCTAAGGGGCTCTGCGGCCTCCTTCCTACGTGTCCCTGACGTCTGCGAAGAGGGACGGCAGCCCAAGGGCTGTGGCTGCAGCGATCATTTTAACAATCGCCAGGGGTTTAGAGCGCCGCCCAGCAGCGGCCTCCGGAAGCCGGCCGCCTCGTCAGCGCCGGGCCTCACGGTTCTAGCATTTCAGGAAGATTTTATTACTTTGGAACTGGCAAGAGAGCCGCATGTAACAAATTAGGGCCGGGTTGGGGCGCGGGTGGGGTGGACCCAGGGCTGGGGGCGTGAGCTGCTTCTCTGTGTTCCTCCTCTCTCGCTTGCTTGCAAAGGTCACCCTCTGCTACCCCTGGGGGTTAAGTGGAAGGTGCCTCTGGGGTAGCTCTGTGAAGTCAGGTTCTGTCTCCTCTCTATAGGGACTCTCCTCACCCTCCTCCTTGGGACAAAGCCCTGGGGATTATCTTTGCACATGGGGCCTTGTTGGGGTAAAGGGAGCTGGGCCCCTCTTGTGAAGGCAGGTTTGATTTCCTGAATCCTCAGCTCTTATCCCCGCCCCATACCCATACTGGCCAGGGAGGTGCAGGGAATTGTCACATGCTGGTACCGGCGTCCTTTAACTGAGCACCTACTTTCTTCCAGGCATTGAGCAAAAATGCTTCCAAATAATCCCAGAGATTGGTACCAGCACCATCCCTATTTCACAGGTGGGAAAGCAGAGGCTTGGCCACATCCAGGGGCACTTGTCCCAGATCCCACACTTGAACTAGGCGGGATTCAATGCCTAGTTTGGAAGGAGATTCCAGCTGCACTGCACGTACCAGGCCAAGCAGCTCAGAGAACAAAATAATAGTAACCCAGAGCGGCGGGGATGGAGGAGTGGTTTTAATTAGTGATTCACTCAGCCAGCGCGAGGCGGGCCGGCGAGGGGGTCGGGGCAGGGGCCGGGCGCGGGCGCCGGGTCCCCTGGCCTGGCCAGTCCCCTGGCCGGCTGGCTGCTTCCTGCGGCGGCGGCCCAGCCCCGCGTCAGGCACTTTGTTCTGCTGCCCGCCTGGGCCTCCTCCCAGGCCCAACCTGCTTTGAGTTTGAGGCTCGTTTTTCTCTTTTGCTCCCCAAAGAAGGGACTGGCGGCACCTCCCGTGCCCGGTGCCCACCAAGCCGCCTCGCCCGGTTGTTCCCGGCATCCTGACCCCAGGAGGGCCATCTTGGGGTCAGAGGAGAGGCTGTCCCTGGGCCATCCCGCCGCCCTCCGCCCCTGGGCTGGCCGCTGAGTCACTGCTTCCACAGGAGCCGGCTCTGATTTCCTGCCCCCTGGCCCTCTCTCCCGTCATTAATATTGGTGACGGTTCAGCTGGCGGGCTGTGGGCAGGAGGAGGCCGCCGGGCCCCCTGCCGCTCCCTCCTCTGCCCTGGGGCCCCAGCCCCAGCTCCTTTCTTCAGTGCTGACCCGGCCCAGGGTGCCCCGTCCACCTGTCCCACTCCCTGGCTGGCCAGGCCCGCCCCCTCTGGCCCCTGAGGCTGGGATCGAGCCCCTTGGGCTGCTGTCCGGGCCACGCCCTCCTGGCTGCCAGGCCCAGGTCCTGGGATTCCCCTCCTTGATGGCTGGGGTGTGTCCTTCCTTCCCTGCCACCGCCTGGTTCTGGCCCCACACCTTGCCAGAAATGGCTGCTCCGGCCGCCTCCCGGTGTGGGTTCCCAGGCTCCTCGGCTGCCCAGGCTTGTCCTGCCCACGCTTAGAGTCCAACGCCCTCCACCTCCGGCCCAGAGCACACCCCCAGGCCCCAGAGTCTGCCCTGGCCGGTGGCCTTCCTTCTGGCTCAGCCTTCAACTACCTCTAGCCATCCCTGGCCCTTGGTCAGTCTCCCCCAGAGTCCTCCCCCCACCCTTCCCTGCCCCTTTGCTCACCTGGGCTGTCACCGCCTGTCCTGGGTCTGTTTCCCCCACCAGCCTGGGAGCTCCTGAGGGTCAATTCGGGATCCACCTGCCCACGTTCAGCAGAGGGGTTCCAGGAGCAGCAGAGAAGTAGGAAAGGTTCTTGCTTTCTGAGGTCGACCCCGCCTCCAGCCAGAATGGCCTCCGTGGGAACCCAGGGTCAGACGGCTCCCCTGGCCCTGAGGCTCAGCACCCTCCTTGTGAAGCAAGGATGTGGGACTCCATAAAGTTGATCCTTTCCCCCTCGCAGCCAGGTCACCAAGCTACTCCTTTAGCTTGGGGACCCCTGGCCTCGGATCCTGTGCAGTGGCCCAACAGGGCAGCTTCCTGACCCTGGTGCTGACCGTGGGCATCGCTGGCCAGAGCCTGCATGCAGTCACCCCCTCTGCTGCCTGTGTCAGTGGTGCCCAAGCCCTACCCTTGAGCCCCTGCGTGCTCAGGCCACTTCTCTGAAGCCACATCCACCTGTCCCAGGACGGCACTTCCTCTCACTCCAGAGTGGTTTTCAGAGTCTAGCAATACGACCATTGAGGGGTCCTCTTGGGGCAGCAAAGAGCTTCAGACCCTTTTAGGGTAGGGGGCTCCCTGTCCATCAGCATACCTCTAAGACCACTTTGGTTGTAAGTAACTGAAACTCAACTCAAAATGCTTCAAGCAGAAAGAGTTTTTTGGCTTACATAGCTAAAAGAGTCTACGGGTCTGGTTTTACGTAAGGCTTGATCCAGGGACCAGATGATGTTATCAGGATTTAGTCTTCAGATCAAATAGAAGGACTCAGAATCCAGTGTGGAAAGGAGGTCGGAGGTGGGAGTCGGGGGAGGGGATCGAATTCTACTGTGTCACTGAGGTGCTGGGAGGAGCTGTTGACTTCCTCTCAATATGGACGCTCTGCTGCCTGAGCCAACTGAATCCGTGCTTCTGGGGCTGGGGCCTGCGTGTGTTTCAGTCCGAGCAGGGGATCAGCAGGCCACACCTGCTGTCAGGAGCAGAGGCGAGGGTCAGGCTCAGGTGTGGCCAGCTGCTGGTCCTTACCCACTCCTGCCTGTGCTCCTGGTGGGGCACTGGCATCACCAGAGAGAGACCTCCCAGCTGTTCCTAAGCGGCCCCCAGTGCTCTGGGGGAGCCCAGCCTGCGGCCTCTGAGCTCTGGTGCTGTGTTCTAGCGCCTTGAACAGCCGTCTGTGGGCTGATGGCGGCTCTGTGGGTTTGGGGCAGGGTTTGGTGGGCAGTGTCTGCTCTTCCCTGTCCTGTCTGCCCGTGGACTTCTCTGGAATAGACAGAGGAGAAGTGAGCAAGTCCAGCTCTGCAGGCCCCGTGACCTTGGGCAAGCCCCTTTGTCCAAGGCGAGCTCTGTTTCCTCCCTTGGGCAGAGGGTGGACCTCGCCTGTTAAGAGGAAGAAGTGACACCTGGACGTGGCCATGTCTGACCTGTGGTCAGCGACACATAGATGCTGAAGGAATGCGTAGGGAGACTAGCGGGGCCAGTAAGGGTCTCCAGCCCTCCTCTGGCTCTTCCTCCCTAATCAACGTGTCCCCCAGGAGGGACATTCTAGGATATCGATGGGCACTGGTCAAGCATCCGGGAGGTGGAGTCTGTTTTCTTTAGATTTGTTTGTGTCACCCCCACCGTATCAGTGAGGCTCTCAGACATCTACCTGTAGATGCCATGGCCGTCCCTGGCTTGGGCTAAGGAGGAGGCGGAGACGCTGGATGGTCTGGGGCGGGGGGCCCAGGGGGTTCAGAAGAGGAGTAGAGAGCCTCCTAGAGGAACCAGGGAGGAGGGGAGGAGGCCGGGGAGCTGAAGGGCGCTGGCGGGAGCTTCCCAGAGGAGGCGGGCACACAGCTGACCCCTGAAGGGTGAGAGTGCTCCAGGCAGGGTCCTTGGGTGGGGCAGGCAGCATGGCGAAGCCTTTGTCCCCTTTGCTCTGATTGTTTCTGAAGACCAGTTGAAGAACCTGAACTCAGGTTAGACAGGCAGCTTCCAGAATTTTCCTTGGGAGACCAGAGCCCGGGCACCACTCCCCTCGCCTGCCTTTGCATTTCCTGGCTGGCCTCCCAACGTTCCCCCACTGCTGGTCCCACTCTCACTGTCCCCTGGGTCCCAAGGGTGTCTCCAGGCCTGCGCCTGTCCACTCTGCGGTCTCCCTTTCTGCAAGTTCAGCGCGTCTGCAGGGCCCCGCCTGCCCTCCGCTCAGAGGTGAACGTTCCCGGGAGCTGCAGCCCGTTTCCCACTTCAGACAAAAGGCTGGAGCCTGCACCTCGGTCCGCACACAGCCAGACCTCTGGCTTCCAAGGTGGCCGGGCGGCCATCCGGAACGAGGAGTGGGCCCGGCCTGAATGTGGAGACGTTGGTTGGAAACTCGAGGGCTGCTGACCCAGGCCTTCCCATGTGTTTCCGCACTCGTCCCCACCGAGCCAACTGGCTGGCTCCGGGAGGTGACACGAAGCCCTGCCAACCCCACTCTCTGTCCAGGCACATCCACGAAGCCAGGCCAGTCCTGAGAAGCCCCCTGTTCTTTAATATTAACCTGAGCATGTCCCTCCTGTGGCTCAGGCTTGCTTAGAAGCAGCGTTCCTCAGTGATGGTCCCACTTGACGGTGAGGAATCTGAGGTGGGGAGAGTGCAGGTGGCCAGACATGAGTTCCCCTCTGGGTGGCACGATGGCCGCTTCTGTTTCAGCCTTATGGATTCCTCAAGTTTAAATAGGCCTCTGTTTTTCGAGGTCACTTATGCAAAGGTCTGAAGCCACCCTGTGAATGGATGACCCGGGTCAGGTGGCCACTGTGAGCCAGTCACGGAGGCCACTTGTCACACTGGCTCCTCTGAGCTCTGTCCCTCGCTCCTGTGCTCCCCTCTGTCACCTCCTCCTGTCAGAGACTCTGCAGGGCCAAACTTTGGTCAGGCTGCTGAGGCTTTTCCTGGGTCCACTGTGCAATGCAGTTCTGCCCTTGACACTTGGTCACTCTCCATATCTGACAGCTCCACCTCCCCCCAGGTGATGTCTGGTCGCACTGGCCTGCCTTCATTAGGTTGCTGCCACTAGAATCCCCCTGACCCCTGACATTTCCTCTTAGTCATCTCCATCCTCTGTACCCACTGTGCTCCTCAGCTGTGAACTCTGGCTTGCCTGTGCTGTGCTGGGAGTTGAGCCCTGTCTCTCTTCCTTGCTGCAAAATCCCATCGCCACAGCCTCTGGACTGTGGTCCACAAGGACCATTGGATCGTTTTTCTTTAACACTCTTCCTCTCTCTCCTGCAGCCTGATGGCACCAGCAAGGAGTGTGTGTTCATCGAGAAGGTGCTGGAGAACAACTACACGGCTCTGATGTCTGCCAAGTACTCTGGCTGGTATGTGGGCTTCACAAAGAAGGGGCGGCCTCGCAAGGGCCCCAAGACCCGGGAGAACCAGCAGGATGTGCACTTCATGAAGCGCTACCCCAAGGGGCAGGCAGAGCTGCAGAAGCCCTTCAAGTACACGACGGTGACCAAGCGGTCTCGGAGGATCCGCCCCACACACCCTGGCTAGGCCGAGGCCCGAGGCCCCCCGGACCCACTCACACTCCCCGAGAACGGCATCAGAGGAATATTTTTACACGAAAAATAAGGAAGAAGCTCTATTTTTGTACATTTGTTTTTAAAAAAAGAAAAAAAAAAAAAAAAAAAAAAAAAAAACTGAACCAAAACTCTTGGGGGGAGGGGCGATGGGATTTTACTGTTGACTTGAAACCCCCGGTGACAAGACTCAGGCAGAGGACTGCTGTCAGCCCACGGGTGCCTGCCCCTCTCGCTGCAGGAGTGCAGCTCTAACTTGTCCCCAGAGGACTCAACGAGGGAGCCGACACTCCGAGAAACCAAAGTTCTTTTTCCCAAAGGTTCTGAAAGCAAAGAAAGAAGGAAAAGAATAAAGAAAAAAAAAAAAAAAAAGAGAGAAAGTAGGGCCCCTTCCCACAACGTCCCCATGTCCCCAGCCCAGCCCTGCCCAGACTCAACAAAAATCGCTCTCTGGTTTGCAGTCAGTTATTTATTGTCTGCTGTCCCGAGACACCGCGCAGGGGAGGCGCCCAGCGCTCCGCGCCCGACTCCGACGACAGACGGCCTCGTCCAGCCGCGGCGCCCTGCGCGTGCCCGGTGCTGGAGGACGCTGCTGTGGACCTTCTCGCTCACGTGACTAGTACACCAATGATAAGGGGATACTTTAAAACCAGCTATATTATATATATATTATATATATAAGCTATTTATTTCACCTCTCTGTATATTGCAGTTTCATGAACAAGTATTACTGCCTCAACAATTAAAAACAACCGACAAATTATTTAAAAATCCACGAGGCGAGTGGTGGCTGGGGCGGGCTGGGCGGGGCAGCTGCTCCGTGTCCTGTGGGTCTTAGTCTTTGCTCCCCGGCTGGGGCCTTGGGTCATTTGTTCCTGGATTCCCTCAGCGCTCAGCACTGAGCAAGCAGCCTCAGAGAGAGGACAGTCTGACGGGACACTGTGACTGTCACCCAGCATTTCCCGTGCATGGCCTACGGGCCAAGGTTCAGAGCCCATGGGGAGCATCACTTTCAGGAACCCAGTGGGACCTCCCTTCATTTGTTGATTTAGTGAAGGCTTCATCCACTGAAATGTGTTCATGAAGCACCTACTAAGTGCCAGGCAGTCCCCTAGGTCTGGGAGGTTATTGAAGAACAACACACATACATACACAGAGTCCTGCCTCACAGATGGGCTAGACCAGGGGACATAGTCAGTGGGTCCAGGTCAGTTTGGCACCTGGGATTTCTGTCCTCAGACTTGCGCCTGGGGGGCGAGGAGTGTGGCTCCAGCGCCTGTTCTCCAGGTGGCCCCGGGTTGAGAGCAGATGGGAGGCGCGGGCCCTGAGCCTGGGCTGAGTGGGGGACTCGGCTCTCTGGCTTCTCCTGGCTCCAGCCCACGTCTCTTCCTGGTAAACTGTGTTCCTCGTGGGACAGCAGAGTGACCGAGGCCTCTGACCCCTCTTCTGGGGTCCTGCTGCTGTCATCTGCCTCTCTTGAAAGCTCCTTCCCCTGAGACTGGCCCGACAGGTCCCCACGAGGCCCTTGGAGAGGACGGGACAGGGCAGGGAAGGGTTCCCTGCTGGGCTGATGCCAACGTGGAGGTGCAGAGCCCCTCTCCCCCCAGGCCCTGCCCACATGCCTGTGTCCACTTCCCGCCCAGCCCTGGACACTTCCTTAGAGCCTGTGAAGTTCTGGAGGTGGGCAGCCTCCCTGAGCCCTCGGGAGCTTGCGTGGAAGGTACAGTTACTACCCCAGGTTTTAGATGAGGAGACCGAGGCTGGGAATCTCCAAGCCAGGTGTCCAGGTCGCTAGATGAGGACGTGGCGGGGCCCCCTCTCTATGTGGCTGCTGCTTGGTGAGAGCCTCTGCTTCAGGCGCATTCTGGTGGCTTCCTGGGCACTGGGCCAGCATGTCCATCCGTCGCTCAGTGGGGGAGCGGTGCTCCCACCTTGACTGATGAAGAGACTGCCCGGAAAGATCATCCACTGGCCCAGGCCCCTCAGTAAGCAGGTGACAGCCAAGACCCTTGGGATGACCCTTTCTGTCACTGTGACAGAAGGCCTGAGATAACTGCCTAAGAAGAGGTTTGTTTGGGCTCAGTTTGGAGGGTCCAGTCCGTGATCATTTGGCCCTCATGTTTTGGGCTTGTAGAGACACAGCACATGGGGGGACAGTCCCTGTGCAGATCCAAACTGCTGTCCTCATGGCAGAAGCAAAAGAGAGAAAGAGGAGGCCGGAGGCTGCTTCAAGGGCACAGCCCAGAGACCAAGGGCCGCCCCCAGGCCCCACCCCGCACAGTGGCCCCTGGGGAACCTCGCCCTGAGTCCCTGAGCTTGGGTCCTGACCCAGAGCGCAGCCCCCGGGCTTCTGTCGTCCCCAGGCAGCGGTCCTGTGTCGCGCCTTCACTCTCCGCCAACGCCGTTTATTGAAACAACCTCCCTGTGAGGTAGACGCTCTGTGGCCTCAGCACTGGAAGGTTCCGCGTGGAATTAAGGCGTCAAGCGCGCAGCGCTGCTCCAGGTCCCACCTCCCCACCCCGCAGACGGGGTTCACTCCTGCCGGGGGCCGGCGTCACACGGGCTCCACGACCTAAAGGGCCGCTGCCCTCAGGGCGCGTGCTTCCCCTGGGGACACGGACAGAACCGAGCAGGCCAACCCTGGGGGACACAGAGTCCAGCCCAGGAAAAATCAGGCCAGGTGGGGGCGGGGCTGCTGCCGGGGGCGGGGCTTCGGAGGTGGGCTTTCTGAGCAGGATGGAAGGAGGAGGGAGGATCCCCCTCCACGTGGAGGGGAAGCAAACTCCAGGCGGAGGGGACAGAGGGCTGGAGCCTGCAGGGCTCTCAGGGGACAAGGAGGCCTGGGACCAGAGCAGGGTGAAGGGAGGGGGCACTGGAGGGATGCAGAGTGACCGGAGCTTTGGCTTGGCGTGCGATGGGCAGCCAGGCCTGAGGGACCTTGCACTTTAAAGGAGAAGGAAGGACAGATGCTAGCCTAGTAATGCCCAGCACCCTGAGCCTGGCAAGCTGGGCATCCACCCTGGCCCTGGGCTGCCTGCTGCTGGCTCTGGCGCCCCTCCCAGCACACGCCAGGCCCTCCCCAAAGCCTTGCCCCTATTCCCCTGGGGCTCTAGGGCCTGTGGTCATTTCCTCTTCTTGCCTCTTTAGAGTCCCCTTCGCGGGAAGATGTGGGCCCGGCTCTGTTTAGACAGAGCTTCCTGGACATTCCCGAGTTACAAGGAACATGTTCATGATGAGCACCGTGGACAGCAGGGAGCTCTTCCAGCCAGGATGGTGGCTTCTTAGGACACTTGCTGGGGGAGGAGGCTGTGGGGCCTCCGTAGTCGTAGTCGGCGGGGGCAGGGAACTCCAGTTCTAGCAGCTGCAGCCCAGCGCTCCAGAGCTCCTGTTCTGAACCAAGCACCATCTCGTTGGCCCCCCAGGTGGTCTGAGGCAGGTGTTCTCAGCCCCATTTTACAGAGAGGCTCAGAGATGCAGTCACCTGCCTGAGGTCCTGCTGCCAGTAGACAGAGGAGCTGAAATCGGACCTGGGCCAGTCTGTCCAGGTCTGGTTGCTTTCTGCTCCCCGACTCTCTCCAGGTGTCTCAGTACCAATCCACTGGCTCTGTCTCAAGGCCCATTGTCTCCCCCACCCCCCAGGGAGGACAGATACAAGTTGTATTCCCGGTGCCTGGGGATGGGTCTCCCCAGCCCCCTGCACCCTCCGGGTGACTGTTTCACGGAGTGTCCAGAGACCTGGGATCTGGAGCCCCTGAATATCTCTGGCCACTTTGCCTGCTGGGCAGTCTGGGAGTGGCACGCTCAGGGCCCCATCACCTTTGACCTTGCAGGGCTGATGTTATGCTAAAGAAAAGCAACAAGTTCTTCCTTCTGGAAAGGCCTCTGCCAATGCTCCCTCCTGTCCTCCCTCTGCTCTTTCCAGGAGGAGGTGGCTGAGACTCAGAGAGGGGGAGTGCCTTGCTCCAGGTCACCCGGCGAGTGACGACAGAGCCTGTTAGATGCCCAGTTAGTAGTTACGACCTAGGAGATGCAGACGGAGGCGAGCCTGGGGCCAGGACACCCTCTCAGCATCCTTCCAACTTGGTTTCTAGGATCCAAGTGAGCAGAGAGCAGGGCAGAAGGTGGCCGTGGCACTGGTCCTCAGCCCCCGCCCCTGGTGACAGTGCCCAGGGTCTGCGTGCTGAGCCAGGAGAGGTGGACCCGGCCCTAGTGTTTCAAGGGACAAGAACAACAGTGGGCCCCAAGTCCAGGACACACATGGGTTTGGGGATGAGATGCCCTTACACCTCCCCCACTGTGGGTCTTCTGCCCCTGTGACTGACCCTCTTCCTACTCCATAGCTGCCCTTGAGGTCACCATAACATGCCACTCCCTAATCTGGCATGGGGCTCCCAGGAAGGTGAGTGCTTGGCATTGTCCCTGTTACCAGGACCCCCGTTCCATGGGCACAAGAGCCTGGGAGACTCAGGCCATGGAACAGACTTGAGGTCCCCCGGGAGAAAACGGCACAGCTGAGACTTTTTTTTTTTTTTTTTTGAGACAGGGTGTGGCCATGTTGCCCAGGTTGGCCTTGAACTGGTGGGTTCCAGTAATCCTCCTGCCTCAGCCTCCCAGGTAGCTGGGACTAGAGGCAGGTGGCCACCCCTGGCCAGAGGGAGACGCCAGCCCAGGCCTGCTGTTCCCAGTCCGCACTGCTCTCTTGACTCTCTCCTTCCCGCCTTTGCTGAGGATGCAGTGGGAACCAAGCTCCAAAGTTTGGAGCAAGACATGTGCTGTGGCCCTGGTGGGGCGGGTAGGAGGATCCTCTGTGTGACAGTGCCACAGGCTGCACTTGTGGGCAGGCTGCGGGGATTCGTGGCCCCAGGCCCAGAGCAGGACCTCGGGGGATGCCCTGCTGGCTGCCCCACCGGCTGGAGCCTTGCCAGGCCAGGCCGCCATGCCCAGGGCCTGAAAGCCCCATAAACAGGGCAGAGGCCCCCTCCCCCCAGCCGTGGGACCGGGCTCCAGAGGAACAATGGTAAATTAGGTGTTACAGATGTGAAGGGTGCGCCCACCACGCAATTAGCCGGTGGGTCTGGTAGAAACATTAGGCACAGTCGGGGACCAGATGGCGGCAGGGCTCAGCCTCGCAGGCTGTCCGGGGACGTGCCTGGCTTCCTGGCGGAGGCTTCAGCCCTGGCAAGGAGGGGGGGGTGCAGGTAGGCCTTCCTGGGGCCCCCTGCAGAGCCCGCCCCTGATTAACTGGCCCCCCCCCTCCCATGGGCCTCGCAGACCTAATTAGCACTTGCTAGAATTTCTGTTCAGCTCTACCATGGAGGGAGATCTTTCAA